TCTATTATCTGTTGTCTGTTACTATGAACATGTCAGCTACCTGGAAGCACAGGCATGGGGCAACCAAGTTTGACGAGATGATCATTTCTCTCTTGCCTTTGGGCTGCAAAGGTTAAAAAAGGTGACACAGATCGATATTGATATTGGATTGACAGACTGATATGAATGCATTGTCTGGATTTATAATAGATTTAGCACTGACTGACCCATTCAAGAATCTGTCCAGGCATTTCATTCTTCATTATCTGGCACATGAGATCGTCTTGTGTGGCATTAGTGTTTTCCAGCTGGAGGATGACCACGTTTCTCTTGTGATCAGTCTCAGCTCGGAGTCTGGGAGCTGAGACAGAGAGACATCAGTCATCATAGCTTCAAATTGAACTGTACAGGTGCCACTTTACAAATATGTCCAACTGTAGACAATACATGCCAGACTAGAAAAAACCACAGGTGATAACAAAGTGATTTTACAGCATCTCTTACCATCACAGTATTTTACAGCCATCTCTAGGTCCATGGAGCAAACTGAAAGATAGTAGTAAATACTCAATGAAATTACCCTGCACTTTAGCATGTGCTTATATTACAACACTCAACCTCACCTTCTTCTAAAGACGGGATTGTGACATTTTGGATGTGGTATGTTGAATGTGCGTAGACCTGGACCACAACAGGACTGCCAAACATCACTTTCTCTGTCAACAGCAGCTGCATTTTCTGGAAACATGTACATTTGTAAATTGAAACTCTGCATTACTCAGTGATGATAAACAGTCTGAAAGACAAAGATGTTTTGGAAACTAGTCTCTTTGAGCAATTCAGGAAATAAGAATGCAGCACAATGGGACACTAGCCACTTTGGAGGAAGTATTCAAATCCTTTACATCTTTACCTGTTTGGCCCTCAAACTTTTTTTTGTTTAATCTTCTGTATTTTATAAATTTATCATATATATTTTTTTAAATATTAACTGTAAAGTAACCTCTAACTATCAAATAAATGTAATGCAGAATTAATTAAGTACAATATATTCCCACCGAACTGTAGTGGAGTTCAGGTATAAAATGACATAAAATGTAACTAATCAAGTAAAATACCTTAAAGTACCTGAACTTTTGATTCATGTACAGTTCCTGAGTAAATCTATTTAGTTATTTCCACCACAAATCAACAACAGAAACAACAACTACATGAAGTAATTCCTTCACACCTGCCCAGTATTAACTTCCTTATGTGTGAGCTGTTGAGAAGCTTGGACTAAACTGGAGTGGCTTAGTTTAAATTCCAGTGTCTTCCAAATTTCAGTGGCGCCCGGGGAGCTCAGACACACTCTCAAAGCTGTAACACAGAGAGTAGAAGAAGAAAAAAAACTATGAAAAAGTCATCTGTAGAAAAAATAAGTGTGAGTTTTCGTGTGTTTTGGGTTGAGCTCATGATTTTATACCTCTTGGTTCAGGGGGAACAATATTACCACTTCCATCTGCCATTTGATTCATGCCGAACAACTCCTCTTCCTCAGTAGGTTCACCAGATTCCTCAGAAACCTCCCTTGTATTATCCACTTCTGCAACTATATGTGCAATGCAGTCGCTGTCAGTAAAAACTACAGCAGAACATGCAATATTTTGACAGCAGCTGACTAGCTGACAAGCCAAACAACAAAGATAAGAATGCAGAAAACAGCTTGACAATAACAGGAGCACCAACAAAAGAATTTACCATGATGAAAACAATGCATGATGCAGTTCGGAAAAATGATGGTCAGAAGAATTCAAGGTGTGTTACCTGAGTTGACAATGTCAAAGATGTAAGATTTATGATAAAATCACCTTGGACAGTGATAATGATTTGCAGGCAAGGTTCACAGTCTTGTGCGGCTGAACAGCACAGCATCACTTTAAGCTGCATATGCATAGCATCGGCTGTATCAGTTGGATCAAGCAGGACAGCAGGGTACGGAGAGACTATGGAAAGATAAGTGTTTCTGCTTTAGACAGACCATTACCATGATATGAGATGCACTCGTGTTGATCGTGTTGTTACCTGAGCTCACGTGGCAGTCAGTCAAACCCTGAAGAAAGACAAGAGGTCGATGAGAACTGAGCGTGCCTAACAAGTCCACTCACCCATCATGAAACTCGCCTCTTGAGTACCAAAAATATCAACAGTATTGAAAGAGGTGTCCAGCTCCTCTGCAAACTTAAAGTAGTTCTATCAGCAGTAAAAGTCCTGGTTATCAGCAGCTAAAGCGCTGATTATGCAGGAGAGGAACTAATATTAAAAAATCATTGTCTTAAAAACAAACAAATAATTTAAAGTAACCATAATGAAAGCAGGATTTTTCATAGGAATTAGTATATGATACTATGATGTTCTTTTCGGTGGATTTACCTCAGACAAAACACAAGCTACAACAACCCTCCTTGGAAATAGAGCAGGGGAATAAAGTGTCATGCGGAGACACAGTTGTAAATAAGTAATGAGTATTAAACTCTGATCTCTCTGTTTGTCTGTGTTGTTTCCCTGGATCCACCCCAAAACATGAAGCCTGCACACTATACTTATTATCCATGTGTCAGCTGACTATATCAACTATACTATATCAACCATAAACAATAATAAAGATGGAAATAAACCTCACATTATGAAGAAAAAGTAGATCAACTAAATTACAAACAATCTATAAGTGGATTTTTATTTAGCTGCTGTCTTGTCTCATAAAAGATTTATATTTATGATATAATAGATATATAATAAAATCATAACATCATAATAACATCATAATAAAGCGTCAGAACACAAAACTGAGACATTACGGCCATAATGAAGACGTGGCTTTGTTACAGTCTGGTTCCATGGCGACATTATTAAGAAAGCTGAGGATTATCATGGTGGCTTGTTACCTCACTACAGGTGAGTTCAGGTGCGTCTTGGTCAATCATCTCCAGCGCGCAAACAAACAGCCAGAAGCGCAGCGGTAACAGCAGAAGGAAGATAACATGTGGCCCCCGAAGGAGTGTGAGAGCCATGTCCTGGAGAGCGCCCCTGCGCACGCCTCGCGACCCACTACTAAACTACCCTCCTCCGAATCACAAAGAAGAAATCCTGTTAGTCTTGGGTCCAGCCAGCCGCCCAGCATGACACTGCTTGTTACTCTCAGAAAAGAGTGACCACGGCTCGTGCCACAACAGCAGACATTTGTGACGTTCCTACCCCCCCCCCCGCCGCCCAGGCGCCCTTGCCAGTGATTGATAGCTCAGGAGTTGGGCGTGTTCAGACTGGATCGAGGAAACTTGTCACGAGTATGACAAATCCTACCGGTAACCCTGCTTGGTTGGTGAATGATTGAACGGGGGTTATAGCATAAAATAAGAGGCAAAAAAAACAAAAACAGGCTGGTCTGATTGGAAGCACGCCCGACTCTTTTGTTGCAAGTGAAAGAGCAAATTGTTGTTAATGATAAGGCCATCAGGTAAGGTCAAATAATTTCTGGGTGATCTCATACAAAAATGATGATAGTGACAAGACCTCATGACAATTACCAAGAATATTACTGAACCAACACCTTTTTATGGTCATGATTATGTTCTTCTTTTAGCTTTGAACTCTTCCAATAATTAAGTGAGCAGGGAGAGTATTCAGTGTGTTGCTCAACTGCATATGGTTGTCAAAACACACAAAACACAGGAATTCAACCTGTGAGGCTGTGACCATTTAGTTAGAGGGTTGTCTCATTACCTCTAGACCACCTTTGCACCAAGTTCTTACAGTAGTGGCAGTTGTTTGAATGTCTTCAGTTGGCCTGCTATGGTTTAATCATTAACCTCTTGCCAGGTGAGTAGGTCAATTAAGTCTGCTGTTATGGATCATAATTTGTATTCTTGCTTATCTAGAACCATGACACCTGTGCAAGCTGTAGTGCATTAGTGTGTGCAATCACAAAGATGTAAATTCTCTGTGGATCTTAAATATATTTGACTGTTTCCATGATTACCATGTGCCCAGGGAACATTCTCTCAAACTCTGTGGTTTAGCTCTTTATTTTATGGTATAAAGGCTGTTCCCATGTGACTAAACTCACCTAGTTTAAAGGGGGATTCAATCTCCATATACACTTAAATTCAAATGACTGTATAAGCTGCATAAAGTCTTTTTACCCCTATTTTCCATGGCTGTATTCTTGTATTTGTCATATAGTATAACCCGGACCTTGGATTTACATCATGTATGTCATCTTAGTAAAAGTGGGAAATGTGTGGGTGAGTTCAGTGTCACATCACAGTATATTACTCTCCTGATGTGAGACGCGCTGAACTGTGTGTGCATAGGTGATTTACTTCCTTATTAATCCTGTCAAGCAGGTCTTTCACTCAGAGTACTGGAGTCATGTTAATGTTGTTATCTTTCAGTGTAACTCATTTTGAAAGAACAGGTTTTAGAAAAACGCAACATGAGGCTTATGTAACAGAGATTCTGAATTTCAAAAAAACAGATGTCAGTAATATAAACAGCAATTTCACCTTAGACATTTGTTTTGTTTACACATTCAGTCATTTCAGTAATTACACATGGATCTTCTTTTTTTTATTACTTCCCATACAAAAATATATAATGCCAATAGAGTTAGCTTAACTCAACATGTTCACTGGAGCAGATCAAATATTTCCCCAAGTTGAAATGAAATTTATGTGTCGACCCTGACCAGATCGGAGTTTGCTTTGCATAAAATTTACCGTTGAACTCAATAGAATTCCTGCAGTAAAATAAGAGCTGGGGAAGTACTGCAGTCATGTTTTTTCTTGCTCTGATGCTCTGAGATTTTGAGGTAACCTGTGTATAGTCCATTTGCCGTTAGTAATATTTGAATAATACTGGCTTTCTTCTCTTTGAGATAAGACACATTTTTTCATGTAATGTTCAGTGACGTTTCCTGAATGAGGAGATGCAGTATGCCTGAGTGAAGAAACAAACAAACAATTGATTCACTCTTTGTTCTTGAATGTAGGAGGTAGTATGTGTGCAAATATTTAATCATCAGGCTGCAGACAAACACAGTGACTGTTAAAGCCCACTCAAGGCAATAGTAGTAGACTTGTAATAGTTCAAAGTCTTACAGGATAAAAATGTAAAAAGCTCAATAAAGCATGCTTCAGTACAAGTCACTTCATCTTTTCATCTGTTGCACTCTTAACACTGGAAACCTTGAAATCCTGGGACAGGTTTGGCTCAATGTCTGTGTTTAGAAAATCTTATGCAAATTTGTGAGCGTTTGCAAACAGAAGCCCCACAGTTTGTTGCCTGCCTCCACACACACCTTCAAACATTAAATGCACTCATGGAGAAAGTAAAGTATGATTTGCAACCAGATTTTCATAGCAGTTAGCACATTTACAGATAAGACAGGTGTTCGCTATGGCTTCAGTCACGAAAGCAACATAAAGAGTCTCTCTGTCGACAACAGGATGGAGTATTTACCTCTTCTTAATATGCAAAACAAGTGGTGGCATTTTTGGCATGATGGTGCCAAGTAATGAATAGTTGGTACTGAGTGGTGGCTCTGAGGTGCTCACAATGGAACACCAGCTCATGTTTCCCATGAACATATTATGTTTCAAGCAGAACAAAAGTCTGTCCCCGTAAGACATGTGAAACTTGAGATTAAAGTTTCTCTGCTCTCAATGGTGACCCGTGGAGAGGCTCTTGCTCTTGTACAGTTTCTAGCCTTGCCCTGCTGGCAGCCAGTGGTAACTTGAGCCGACTCTGTGTCTTATCTGATATCTTTTTCTGTGATGATGTGACGCTCAGCCCTTGCATTTTCTTCCCTTGCGTCTGAGGCAGCTGAGTTTGTAGCCTGTGGGCTAGCTGTCGTACCAGCCATATGGACTGCACTTTAGACAGGAGTCTGAGCCAGCAGTGCCAATGAAATTTACCAGTTTGTGTCTTTCTTTTCATCCCGCCCAGCTCCTGTATTAAACCCCTGAAATCCTGTGGTAAGCAGTACCGAGGGATACCTCTGAGGGCTTTAGGGATGTCCCTGCTGTGGCCAAGGCGCTGGAAATACACAATGGCAACCCCTTGACCTTTGCACTGCTGCAGCGTCCCCTGTAGGCAGGCCAGAGAAGCTGCAAATACTGGTGCTATCACTGAAGAGGGTTCTTTGTGTTGGCACCAGTCTTTACCATCACATGATTTAACATAATCCTTTCTTCCTGCAGTTTTCCCTTTGTTGCATATAGCAAGTCTTCTTCCATTTAGTTTATAATCCTCCTCCACAGCAACTCTTATTTTCTCACATCTTGCATCTGCTTTGCTGTCATCTTCCTTCTTTCTCTCATTCTCATCCACGTTTGCCCTCTCCTCCCTCCATTTCTCATAGGCTATCTTGGCCTCAGGACTCCAAATAATTAGCACTTTTCCTTGTGCCTTACGCACAGTTTCCCACTGCCCGTACAGCCACGGAAGTGGACCCAGATCTGCCACCCCAGTCCCAGTCCCGGTCTGCGTTTGTGAGCTTTGGGCCCACAGAGCCATGTGCACTGTGGCACTTAGCTCCCCCTGCAGAATTGAGGCTAAAGCACACACAGCAGAGACATGGGCTGACTGTTCTGATGAGCACACCAGCAATACTGGCTTCTGGACACACAACCAGTCTAGAGATATGGGAAAAGAAACAGGAGGGAAAAAAAGATTGTGTATAATTTGTTTGCTGAATTTCAATTAGTTGCCGTCAGGGTAACACCTATCAAACAAATCAACTGAGGCAATAAGAATAGTTAAAATGATTTCAAATCTGAAGTTGGGAGACATGCAAACACTCAAAGACACAAACAATGGCAATTCAAATGAACCAGAGCCTAGACCTTGTATTTAATGAGGCAACTCAACTAACCTGCAGCTTTACTTTTAGTAAGACGATGGATGAAAATTCCCAGTAATGCAATAATAACCACAAGTGTCAAAGCTGCCACTGCATACATGCCACATCTGTTGTGCGTGTCTGTGGAAGAACAGAAAAGACAGTGGTTCGATTTACTTTGTAGGAGTTGTGTGTGCTTACATTCATTCATGCATGAAATGTTTCTCTATTGTGCATGCATTGGTACATTTGGGCTTGCGTGTGCATGTGTGTGTGTATATACTGTTTATGTTGTGCACACTTACAGTTTGGGCACAGAATTCTTCTTCCATGAAGAGCAGGCTCTGACTGCCACACCTGCAGAAAAACAGAGTGAAAGAGTGAGAAGAATGACAAAATAATGCACCATGTCCACAAGCACTTTTTTTCAGTCTTGCAGAAAGTTGTAGCATCTAACTTTACCTGCACACAGGGCTTAACAGCAAGAAAGTGAGGAGGCATTTTTATCCTCATCTCAGTAGTTTTCCCCTCCTGTAAATGAATAAGAGGTGTTACATATTTACTCAGTTAAGCATCAACTTCTGTTTTAGTTCTTTCTCTGGTAAACACATACGTATGCTTACCATTCTTAGTGTGTGGACCTGTCCCATGGGTGAACATCCCATCTCGTTAAGGGCACAAAGTTGAGCCGAGAACATTGCTGGGACAAGAGAAGTGATATATACAAACACACTCTGCTTGCCTGGTCCAATATACACGTCCCATGAAGACACAGCTGAGAGAGGGAGTCAAGAGAGGGAAACACACTGATAAATTGAGACTTATCACAGTTATAAGCAAAAAAAAGACCTTCTTTTTTCATGTTTGACTCACCAGCACGGAAGGGGCAAGAGATATTACGGTTGCCTTGTAGAGAAAACTGCAGAAATGAAACATAAATATGTGAATCCGCAGCTAAAAGATAAACAACTGGACAAGTTACAATGCAAGCACATCTAGCTCTGACTCACCTGCACACACATGTTAGGGTGTTTGTCCACTGTAGATGTGTTATATATCTGTCAGGGAGACGCAGTAGATGTTTGAGAAAGCATTATTCATTTTTATTAGGAAAGAAATCACCAATACCACCAACAGTGCTGCCAAACTTACCAGGTTTGGTCCATCCTCCTTCTCCTCCAGTTGTGTGGAGTTGAGCACAGGTGTGCAGAGGTGTTCGTGTTGTCTCCAGCAGAGGGAGGCAGAGATCTTCAGGTCACTGGCAGGACACACTGATCTCCACTGCAAACTGGACTTGTACTGTATGACTTCAGAGGAGCTCCAAACGTCTGCAACATCTGTTGAGGCAACGTGACTGCAAATGTTCACAACACTATGACAACTGTGACCTGACTATCCAGGGATGCAGTTGTGGGTAAACCTAGTGGACTTTAATTTGTCTAACATAGATAAAAGTATACCACATCATAGTATAAACAGAACCAAACTGATACATGAAATTACATCAACATGGTTGATCAACAAGGTTGGTTTCCACCAATTTATTCTCCTCCCTTCTCGTGTCAAACCATGCAAATAGTTTAGGTTTTTATGTGCTGACAGCACAATCAAGGTGAATGTAATTAAGGAAATAGTTTGACTATTTGGGAAATATGTGCCAAATTTGCTTTACTTTATTGCTGAGAGTTAGATATGAAGATCAATGCCACTCCCATACCTGCTCAGGAATAAGAGGCCACAACTAGCTGACCGTTCACTTACCCTAGTTTAGCATAACAGCTAGCCTGGCTCTGTCCACTTATCACCACCTCTAAAGCTCACTGACTAACACACTGATCTGAACAAAAACCAAAGTATAAGAATGACAAGTTACAAACAAGTTTACAGGGGGTTCAAGCCAGCTGCCTTGAGCTGTTATTCCTGTACACAATGAGGTCTGTAGAACATCTTGAGTAACCAGGACATTTTTTCTGAAAAGACAAGTCATTTTTCAATTCCACATGCACCACAAAGTTCCCTTCCCCTGTACATCTCAAAACCTTGGCTCTTATTAAAACCAAAACTATCTGCATGGCTAGATACCACAAGGGGCAAGTGGGTAAATACTGTAAGTATTTTTTGTTTCATTCTGGGTGGATTGACCTTTTTAAGGGAAGAATTCATTGTTCATGATGGAGCTTTTGTTTTTGGGCCATGTGAAAGACTGTGGGACGTCATGAAACATTAAAGGGAACACCCCAGTTTTGCATATCCATATCATAACACAGAATATCTCACTGTTCAATTAATAACAATAGTAAAATTATAATAATAATAATAATAAGATGTTCCTGCATGATTCACCCCTTAACACTCACCTGTGACCTTTTCCTTTTGAAAAGGACACTTTTTACGTCGCCGGGCGTCTGTGTAGGTGTAATATACCTGTAAATGCAGACAAGACGTGTACAGGAATGACAACAGACCGATTCAACAAAATAATAATAGTTCCTGTATCAAAATTATATGGAGTTGAAAGTACCTGTACACACACACAGGGTAGCAGGTGTGGGATGTTAAGAACAGCTGATCGAGACTGAGATGGATCAATCTGAAGGGAACATACAAAAACATTGCATCTTGATTGTGTACAAACAAAAGCAAGTATATGCAGATAAATGTGCAATTGAAACTTACAGTAATTAGGGTGGAAAGTGGCCCGCCATTGCACTGCACTCCACTGTAACACCATCTGGTATAAACTTTTTCTCCAGGTGCCACAGTTACAGTGATGGATTTAGACAACTGATTCACAGACAGATCAAACTCTGGTACGGGATCTAAGTCGCACACACACACACACACACACACACACACACATCACTGCTGATAGCTCAAAACAAACAGATGGGTGAAGTGAGTTGAGAAATATAACAAATGTAGATGCCAGATGTCAGTTTACCAGTTTTTTGATATTTTGAGGTCTCTGGCGGATTTAAACAGGAAGCATAATGTTGCCATGGATTCAGTAAGCTTGGTGTTGGCTGCAACATGAACACTGTATTTTTTCTGGCCTATATTTCTTCACATTGTGGCAAATTGGTGCCCCTAAAATATGCTAAATTAGCTATTAGCAGTTCCTGTTTTCACTAAACCCATGGATGTACAGGCAACTACTCAATAAAGCGAAAAAATGAGCAAAAATGAGCAAAAATGAGGAGTTCAAGTTCTGGCGTTATAAGGAGCATCTTTATTCTGTGATTTCAAAGCAGATTCACAATGGACATCGCAGATGATGATATCCTCGGAAAGTCACACGGAATCTGAAAATATCTGTATCATGTCTGTGGTGAAAATTTCAGTGATACGACTCCAAGAAGGAGCATCAATTTTGACGTAAAATGTCGCTCCTGCCTCACAGTTTGAAAATCTTTGCTTTAAATAGGAGGCATACAATCAATACAAAGTTATACCAACTGATCACAGGTTAACAGTGCTCGGTCACAGGACGAGTGTGAATTATGTGAATCTTTTGCTGCAGCAACCTAAAAACATCCCTTAGACACTTCATGTTGTTTTTTTTCCTTTGGTCAGCTATCTGAGGCATGACATCGCACAAGACTCTCACGCAGTCTTTGTGCTATACAGGAATAAGGGAGAATGAATGAGAAACATGTGGCAGAAAGGAAAGAAAGGAAAGGAAAAATGAAACCAAAGAGTTAAAACATGGGGCCAGAAATCCTTCAGTACTTTACCTGGCACTGTGTAGCTGACAGTGCAGCTCGTTGATGTTGTGCTGTATGACACAGAAACAATGGTCTCTGCTTCAGCCTTTACACAAGCATATACAATCTCCCACTGTAAAAACAAAACAACATCATCATCGTCAACAAAATAGATATACAAAATATAAAATTAATTTCAGTATGTTTGACGCTAGAACAGAAAAAATAATCTTACCAAGTCAAAACTGGTATTACTATATGGCAACTGCTGTGTAACACCCATGTCACATTTGACCTTTTGTCCACGCACATTTCTTTCACTGTTACACTAAGAAAAAGAGAACAGAGAAACAGTAATGATACCATTGTATTCCACCTACTTATCATTTAGAATTCAGTGACATTTTATGCAGATACAGAGTTTTGGGGCAGGTGCAAAGAGAATAAGTCCAACCTTTGTTTTATTTTTATTTTTTTTCATGATAGGCTTGATTGTCTCATTATTTGATGAGAGAATTTCAATCTTTGGGGCCTTACAGAAGTCTGGAAGAAAGGAGATCGAGTGATACACTTTTCAACATTTAAAATCAGACGTACAAATGCGTGCAGGATCATGTATGCACAAAATAACAAAATGAACTTCTGAGCTGCGGTTTGACTCTGTACCATCAGCTTTCATCCAAACACGGACAGTGACACATTCAGAGTACATCTCCCCAGGCCCCTGGTCCAGGACTGAGGTCAGTTTCACAGGGCACTGCCCCTCAACATAATCTGTACAGACAGAGAGGAGTATTAGTACAGTGACTGATAACATGTGGCTTCCACAGGTTCTAACTAAAATGATACTAGAGCCTTTGAAAGCTTAGTGCAAATACAAAACTTACCATTTTGATTTCCCATCTATGGACAAGAGAAGGAGGACATAAGTTTAAGAAATATGAAACATTCACATAGCAGCATGTAGGCCTATGTCAATTTACCCGTCAAAAAAAGAAGAAGGAAGAAGCAGAGGAGGTAAAGCTGCTGCCGCTCTGTCACTATTTTGGAAGTCCTTCAAATAGTCTTGTCTAATTTAAATATTTACAGTGATTTCACCCCAGTTAAAATACTGTACAGCTTCTGTAGTTCAGTCTGTTACAGTAATGGTTTTAAACTCACCTGGCATGTTATGGTACATTCCAGCTGCAGAGGAAACACTACGACGGCAATAAATGCCAGCGCGGTGCACAGACGCATTTTAAACATCTTTAAAGAGATTGTTAAATGTCCGTATAGTACAGTGCCGACACGAAGCTTCGTTTTTCCGCATGTCCATGCAGCTGGTTTCTGTTGTTAAGAGCGAAAACCAATGCCGAGATTCTCCAAGTCATGCATCCCATGTGTTCTGCCACTGAGTCCGGGCGTTGGAGCATCACAAACACACACACACGCTGTGAGTGACAGTCGCTCCGCATGAGAGCTGTCTGTGTAGCCCTGAAGTTTATCTAAGTTCCCAGGACGGGCCTTGTCGCTAAAGTGTGAGGGCCTTTTAATTTTAAATCCTTTTTTTTTTTTGAATGAATAATCGTAGCCACCAGATTCGGGCCAACGACTCTCAGAATGAAAGCCACATGTGCAAATTACAGAAGTAACTAATGTGTTGACGCCCATTATGACAGAAAATGATACTCCAGAGGGGCGGGGAGTAACAAGTGAGTCATAAGGCAAAGTATACCGGTAAATGTTTTTTTTGTCTGTTTTTGTTGCCATTTTTGTTGCCATTGCATACACTTCCATTCATTTCCCGGAAACTTACCCTACCCTAATCTTAACCACAGAAAATGTGTCCTTAAAAACAGCTTATGGCAGAACTACACACACGGGAGAAAGACTTTGATGTAAAAGTGTAAAGAGCTCTACAAGTGACCAGTAACCATAAACATAGATACAAGATAATAATTATTCAACCCTTCCAATTCAATATTTAGTAGATGCACCTGTGGCAGCAGTTACAGCTTCCAGTCTGTGCAAACAGGCAGATGATACTCCATGAAAGCTTCAAAGGGCAGAGAATATGTAATTTAATACTTCAATTCTTTTTTTGTTGACGGTTCATATTTATTCTATTATATCTATTTGAGGAGCATACTGTTTAACCATGTGTGGCTCTAAGGATGGCGATGTCAGTCAGCTGGTCCACGACTTTGGTGCAGGCTGAAAATTCTCAACAACTACAGGGTGAATTGCCAAATTTGACATTTGCCGTTACCAGCCAGTTAATTCTCGTTAACTCTTATCACTCTCGGTGACTTGTCCCGTTGCGCCATCACAAAGTTGACATTTGTGGTTTTGATCGAAATCTCTCTCAACTATTAACAAGATCGCCATGAAATCTATTGGCCTACACACATTCATGTCTCCCTCAGGATGGATTGTAATAACCTGGTGATCCCCTGCCATCAGGTCCAAACTTGTATTTGTCCAGCATTTTGGCTTGACACCAAATACCTGAGAAACTAAAGACATACCCACCAAACTCAGCGGTACTTTGTTTTGTGATGATGTTTGCATTTAGCTCAAAGCAGCAGTGCGTGAGCCTCACATAGCATGGCTGCAGACTATGTCTTTTTACTCCACTACATTCATCTGACAGGCTTTAGTTGCTAGTTGCTTGCAGATGAAGAAATATTTAAATATAAATGATTCAATGTAATTAAATAGTGTGCAGATCCAGTGCTTAAAAGAATTGTATTCATTTAGATTAAGTAACCGTTACCTAAATTAGCTGGTTTGTGGGTTATTTCATCCAGTCAATACAAACGTATAATCACATTAAACATACACTGAATGCCCATGCATTATTACATGTTTGTACAGAGACTGGGTAAATCAGATATGATAGTAAACAGCTAAAATGGAAAACGAAGCTGTGTCTACCACAGCCTAGTTTTCTGTTCTAGCTGGTCTCCACAACACCATAAGGTCACATCTGTGTTCGCTGCATCTGTTGAAACCACTGACTGATGCTTATCAGTCATTTCCACTCACATTAACAAGTATTTCTCAGGGCAGGAAGCAAGGTAGCAAGAGCGGTGTCATCTTGTTTAGGCTTACATTTTGTGGTAAGTGGGTGTTGCTGTCGGGTGGGGGATTTATCGTTTGTGGAAAGATTGATCAGAAATTTTGGTTTGTGGAGAGGGAATTTAAACTTTGGTTATGAGTGATTTGTCATGACAACCAAATGAGCTCATATAGCACCTGATAATGTAAACAGTTAACTTCTGGGAAATACAGGTTAAATGGGTGTAAAATGTAACTGCAGTGACATGGTTGCTGTAACTGTGATGTCCTGTGTCTTTTCAGGCCTTTCAACCTGTTTAAGTAAAAAAAAAATGTTTTTGTATATTTTTCTAATTTTATTTTGACAGGTTATCACATTATTTTATTATACACAGCTATAATAATCAGCTACAATCAGTGGGCAGCCATGTCACTGTTGTAACACTCATGGTGCACAAAGTTTATCTGGCAAAAAAACTAAACCTGAGAGGCATATTAATGAGACTTGGCAGGTATTTTTGTAAAGGTTGTCTGACCAGTAAAACCTGTGTACAGTAAGTCTGTGCTGCATATACAATGAAATATGTACCAGAAAACCTGCATTGTGAGGGACTTGTTGGTTGTCATGCCAACACAGAAAAGTAATCTCATGACTGAGAGTTTTGAGCATGGTAAACACCTGGTGCTTTAAGTCCCTCAGATAAAGTAAAGAAAGCCTGGGAGTTAATTATTTGTTCAACAGATGTAACAGCTGTTTAACCGATGTTTGGACACAGTGGTTATGCTTTTAGAAAAGAGGAAGTTAAGTTGAAAGTTTAGCAAAATGGACCTGAGAGCATATACTTGTCTTTGCAGTGAAGACAATCCTGCTAAAGAAGCATAAAACCAAGTGGTCATGTTCAATGACAGCAAAGTTTGCACCTGAACTGAAGTGTTGTGCTGTTGCTCTTTATCAAACGATATTATACACACAAGTCGTCTGAGTCACTATTTCCACAGGAAGAATTAATGGGCGGCTGAACATTTAACAATTTACCTGCAAAGCAATCGAGCAGGACAAATTCTGAAGGTGGACTCAGTCCACTCTCAGATGCAGACAGAGTGACCACAACACAACCCACAAGTTTAAAAAACTCAATTCTTTTTATTAAACTTCTATCTTTATGTAATCTGTATATAAAAGTTCTAAAGCCATCAGCCTGAGACTAAGACAGACAGTGAGGCGATCATGTGATTCAGTTTAGTCCTCATTATTCATCGACCAGCGGCCTGTGTGACACAGACGCACGTTAACAAAACCGTAAAAACAGGAGACATGATGTACACAGAGTGACAGACAAAGAGGACCACACAATGACGTCTTGTGCAGTCGGAGTGATTAGAAGTAGTCCATGATGAAACAAGATTGTGGACCTTATTAGGAAGGAGTAAGCAGAATAAATAACATTAACGTTGGTTTGCCCTCGGTTCAGGCTGCAACAGTCTCTCTTTGTGCTCCACTGACAAATGACACTAGCACCAGGCCTGTTTTGTTTTTTGTTGTTATTTTTGTTTTTTGGAGAGCTGGGTGATGAATGTGAAAACGTGCTTGAGTGATGGCATTCGTAGCCATACCCACAGTGTGTGCATTTAATGTACACTACATGCATTTCCCTGTTCACACGTGTAAGATTACGCGTGTGAATGATGTATGTGTAAGAATGACAGGGAGAGGCAGGGTTGTGTATAGATCATACTGTAATACTATGTTCATTTTTTGAGTTTGTAAACCATCACCTCATTTGTCATTTAACATATATATCGACCACATACAAGGAATATTCTGATTCATGATTCTGAACATAGCATATTTTTCCATTATCATTAATACCATTTTTTTTTCAATTCTCTTAAATACAATATTTTACATGTCAGATTAAATACGGCTTAGTGTGCATGAGTGTGCGTGTCTTGGGGCTAACGTAGTGGATGTCTTTTTCCACTTGGTGCTACTGGCACTATTTCTTGTGTTCTGTGATGTAGGTCTGGGCTCTCTATAGAGAAACGTACACTCCACAACACCTGCAGGGACCAACACATAAGGTTTGTGTGTGTTCAGTCACTGTCACTGGTTTCACTGCTGGGGTCCCCCTGCACCTTGCTGCGGTGCTGCATAGCACGGTGATAGGCCACCTGCACTGATTTGCGGATGTTGGATTTCCTACCCTCCAGCATCTTCTCCTTGTCCAGCTCCTGGTCCACTCCGAGTGGCACCAGTTTAGAGCGAGGCAGCCACTGCCTGCATGAACACAAATACAAATACAGTCTAGTGTTAATTTTTTTTCCCCATCAGAGGTACAATGCATCTAATTTACAATAAAACTTGCATCAAAAGAAAAAAGAAATGCTCAAAGAAATGATCACAACACAGACACAGGTAGTTAATCTGAAAAAAATCCTCAATCTTCTGAAGGGATAACAGGCCAAGTCATTTCACATGGAAGATAAGTAAGTTCCTGTTATTGTAACTCTTTAGTTTAAGTCCCCTTAAAAGAACATCACAGTGGTTGAGTGACAACTACTCTTGTCATCAAGTTTCTCTCATTTGAACTAATAAGCAAACCTTGAACATAAGTGATTGTGCAGCACATGGTGACCTACAAAAAAAGAGTTCTTTCCATTCTCTTGAATTCTCAAAAACCACATTTGCCCTATTTCTGCTACATGTTCTGTGATCGTGTACTTCAGTAGTGGAGTGCAGTTTCCTTTGAAGTACTACCACAGTCACTTGTCTGCACACAGCCAGTAACATCAGAAGCTTATTTTGCTTGTGTCTTGTTTTTATTGTACATTTCATCACTATTTTTTGGGGAGAAAAAGACAGAATGTCAGTGAGAACAAACAAAGAGAAACAAAACAAAATTTAGGTACAATTATTGACAATAAAATTAGTCAAGATGACCCAGAGCACTGACCAGGTTCTCTTGTTGTCAAAGAAGAGAACCAGGAAGAGGTGTTCCCTGGCTTCCTGGGTCATTTGTTCCCCAAGTTTCAGCACATCCAAAGGGGGGACTGGGATTGGGACACCCCGGTGGAACACCCCCTCCCTGGGCATCTTCGGGTCAATTATCTGCAGGCAAATGGTGGCAAGAAGAGAGTCAGAAATATAGTCATTAACCTACAAGATGTCCTAAATCTAACACTGCACTTGAATTTGGTCAGGTTGTTGTTTGTCTTGTCTACTTGTATCTCACCAGGGCAGGATATGAAGGATAGCCTCTGCACTTGGCCCACACCAGGTCCAGAGCTTCCAGAGAGGAATAGTCATCAGAAGTCATCCAGCATCCTGACCTGGCACGGCCACGCACCACTGATGTTAAGAAACACAAGATCAGGAAGATCAGAAATCACC